CTCATAATGAATGGCCTCAGAGCACTACAGGATTCTAAAGAGCCTTAGAATAAAAATTTCATCTCTATTCCTGGAGTTTCTATGGTGAACTGAATTTTACTGTAGTGATTTTCTTTGAAAGGCAGTTAATATTAAAGTTGGTTAGACGATTTCTTGAGAGAAGGGAAGATACCTGCCTCAACTTCCTTGTCCTAGACCCAATCATAGTGCACGGGTCAGGTAGTGAGAAGCTCCAAAGTGAGTGGGCCACATGAGTATACCAAGTGGCAAGATGGGCCTGAAGCTCCTATAGGGCCAGCATTCACCCCAAAATATCCCCAAGGCTAAGGGAGCAATATTAAATAGCAAATACAAAACTTCATGACGGAGAAGAGTGAGATCATGGGAAAAATTTAAAGCCTTGTATTTTAATATCTTTAATAATTAGCAAGTTTTTCCTGCTTTTTGAACAAGGAGGCTATGCTTGCATTTTTCTCTGGGTTCTACAAATTACATAGCCAGTTTCCCAGTGGATTTCTATTACTTGCAACCAAAGGAATCCTAACTAGTGCATTTGCTTTTCACATAGCTCTGTATTTTCAGTAATTCTTTATAAGCCTCTTTCACATGCGATAATACCATTTTGTAAATATTCTGTTGGTTTGGAAAAATTTGTTAAAATCTTTCTGCAACACTAAATGGTGAAATCCCTGGGGCCTTGTCTTATTTGTTTTTGCTCTTTTGGTACCCAGACACAGAATTCATATTTACTGTAGATTTTATCAGTAATTAAGACAAGAATGCTCTCAAAGATCACCACAACCTATCCACAGCTAATGACAGATAAGAGAGAAGACTTAGTCTATCGGCTACATGTTGACAACTGCCTAGGTAAAGCTCACTTTCTGTTTTGGCATTAATGCAGGACTGGGAAAGCAGATAAACACTCTGCTGCAGATAAGCCTAACCCTCATGTCAGGTAATGCGAATCTGACTTCAAACTCTTTGCAAGTGTTTTGTCCATTTAAACTCAAATGCCAAAATACCAAGCAAAACAAGTTGTATAGTTTCAGAACGACTTTAGTCTATTTATTAAATATGTGAGTAGTTTCTTAAAAAAAAAAATCTAGATTGTCATTGTGCACTCTCCTTCCTTTCTGTTTTCTCTCTAGTTTCTAGTTAGAATATAATGTGTGTGACAGATTAAATGATGAACAGCCAAGGGAGGAAGAAGAAAGAAAAAGGTGGAGGAAAAAGGAGGAAAGAGAGGGAACAAACTAAAAGCAGTTCCAGTAGTTGAGTTAAATCAGATTCAACTGTGTCTTACTCAAAATTTACTTGTGAAATAGAATAATGGCATCAACTTCTCAAGGTTATGGTGGGAACTAAATGAGATAATATATACAAACACATACATCAAGGTGTCTTGCACATACTTAGTGAGAGTTTTTGTAGCTGAACAAGTATTTTCCATCCAAAAGAAGAAAAGATGCCTTACATAGGCATCAACCACCATGGAAGCCCATCTGAGAAAATTCAAACCAGTTAGTATTGTTTTAGAAACTGCTGCCTTGTGTAATGCTTACTAAAAGGCATGTTAACTGTTTACTTCTACCAATATTTAGTCAAGTCTATGAACAAGACCATGTCTATCTAGAAAAGCTTTGCTATATTTAACACTTAAAAAGATTTAGTTCTGCCAAGAGCAATGGCTCATGCTTATAATCCCAAAACTTTGGGAGGCTGAGGCAAGCAAATCACTTGAGGTCAGGAGTTGGAAACCAGCCTGGCCAACATGGTGAAACCCGTCTTTATTAAAAATACAAAAATTAGCTGGGTGTGGTGGTGCACATCTGCAGTCCCAGCTACTCAGGAGGCTGAGGCAGGACAATCGTGAAGCCGAGAGGTGGAGGTTGCAGTGAGCCGATATCAAGCCACTGCACTCCAGTCCAGATGACAGAGCAGAATTCTGTCTCAAAGAAACAAAAAAGTCTTAGTTCAAGTTGTCTGGTTATTCTTGTCCAATTCCCACTGTAAATGTTTCAGTTACAGATGGCAAAGTTAACTATAAAATGTGCACCCTGAAATTGAGACACAAATTTGGGTACTTCAGGCAGAAAGCCATAAACTGCCATCTTCTTCCTGCTTCCATATTATAACACTAATAATAGTCTTTAGTTTGCATAGCATTTAATGGTTTCAAACACTGAATATATATTCCCTTAGTGGTTCTATGCAGTAATACTGTTGGATAAGCAGGAAAAGTGATACTAACCAAATTTTTTTTTTTTTTGAGATGGAGTCTTGCTCTGTCCCATAGGATGGAGTGCAGCGGCATGATCTCAGCTCATTGCAAACTCCCCCTCCTGGGTTCAAGCGATTCTCCTGCCTCAGCCTCTTGAATAGTTAGGATTACAGCCATGTACCACCAGGCCCAGCTAATTTTTGTATTTTCTTTTAATAGAGATGGGGTTTCACCATGTTGGCCAGGCTGGTCTGGAACTCCTGACCTCAGGTGATCCACCTCCCTCGGCCTCCTAAAGTGCTAGGATTATAGGCATGAACCACCACACCTGGCCCTAACCAAATTTTAATATATAAAAATATAAAAGTTACAATTCACCAGTAATGAAAGCAGGTGTAGAGTATCGGTAGTTAAAGCAGGTGTAAAGAGTACAAGCTCTTTGTCCAATTGTTCAGCTCCACCATATTGCCTTCCCATGCCGCCTTTATGAAACACAAGACTTTTCCTTACTGAGGTCAGCATAATTGATTATGAGAACCACTTTAAGAAAATTATTTTCCCTAACTCATAACTTACAAAGCAAGATATGTTTCCCCTCACAGTCTGTGGATACCAGGCACATTATTTGAACTCATATTTTTTCACAGCTGGACTTACAAAATTCCACGAAGGTGAAACCGTCACTTATCACAACGGCAAGAGAGAACTAGGCAAATACAAATTCACTGGACAAGGGCAATTAATATTATTTTATGAGGTAACATAATTCTGAAAAAAGTACATTAAAATCCCTATGTTGGTTCTCAGATTTATAACACCAGCATGCAGGTACCAGCAGTGGGCTTGATAATCCATGGAATTACATTAACGTTTCTGTTTCCTTGTTTTGCTTTGTAAATATCCTCAGATATAAAAAAGCTGAGCACTAGTTTACTCGCTTCATGGTACTTTAGAAAAAATACACACAAATATTCATGTATAAAAGACCACTGGAAGAAATGAACTAATAAGGAATTCATAGCAATAAGTGAATTTTCTTCTTTCACACACCCATAGGTAATAAGTTTGCACGTTTCCAGTCTTTATGCATTTACGTAAATATGTATATAGATATTTATAAATATTAACTTAGATATTTGATGACACTATATCCTATATTGTTCTGAATTTGATTTTTTCTTTTTTCTCAAAAATATGTCTTGGGTATCTTTCAATGCCATGTGTCTGTGTATGTATGCATCTGTGTGTGTGCATGTGTATAAATACAAACATTTAGAGTTTTAAACCACTGCATTCTACTCTACAAAATGCATATGCCAAAATAAATGTAATCATTCCATGACTGATGGCTATTTTGGTTGTTTCCAGTTTTCAGTGAATATAAACAATGCTGCAAAGAAACACTCTACGTACATTTTCCCCTCTTCACGAGCCTGTGCTTTTTAGAATAAATTTCGAGAGGTAAAATTGATGGAATCAATAGAATATCTACTTTGAATGTTGATAAATTTAGTCAAATCGCTGTTAAAAAATAAGAGTTTTACCAATTTTCACTCACGGTCATGTATTAGGCTTTCTGCTTGCCTCATCTTAACCAACACAGAATAAAATCAATGTTTTTAAATTCCTCCCCAATCCAGTCCATAAATATGGTGACTTAATCATTGTAAAGTATTTTTCACTCATTACTAGCATTTCATCCCTGCAGAGGAATACTGATAATGTGTTTACTTGTATTGGGGCAAGTTACTTAACCTCTCTGTATCTCAATCTTATTGCTTCTAAAATGAGGATGATAATAATACCTACTTCATAGGATGTTTTTCGGTTTCTTGTTCCTGTTGCCTATGTTTTTCATTGTGATTGTGCCTTTCCTCTTTGATAATTTGGTGAGTTAACACATAGTAAACAAGCATCTATTGTGTGCAAGGGACCACTCTAAACACCAGAGACAGCAGGGGGACAAGATCAAGCCTTCACTGTCATGAAGCTTACATCCTAGTGGGGAGGCAGATAACACAGAGACAAGCAAACACATAAATGTGTAATGTTCTGTCAGGTTGTGTTTGTGAAGGAAAAAACCAAGCATGGTACGGGCTAAGAGGCACTAAGTTTGCTGTTTTAGATAGGGTGGTCAAAGAAGGTTTCTGTGATGATGGGATATTTGAGTAGAGACATGAAAGACACAAGCACTGAGGCTGAGACAATAGCAATGCTGAAGGAGTCACAGGGACCCAGTAGGCTGAGGTAAAGGGATTGAGGGTGAGAGGAAAGAGAGGTGTCAGCTGTGAGAAGCCAGGGACCAGATGCTGAATGCCCTCATAACCCAGAAGGAGGAATTTTCATTTTATACTAAATGCTAAGGGAAGCCAGAGCACTGGCTTCTGAATTGATAAACTGCTCTCAGACACTGAGAGAGGCTACAACTGTAACTTTCCTACCCAAGCAGATATCTCAAGTGTGAACAGAAACAGGGACTACTTGCCCTCTGAGGAAAGCTCACAGGAAAGAAAAGCCAGTGTCCATAATTGAAGCTTCCCTCCCAAACTCAGGCCAACAGGCAAAGCTAAACAGAGCCATCAAGTTGTGTAACTGTGACCCTGACCCACACCTACACCTTTTTCTTTCAACTCAAAAGCTAAACCTGAAGCATTTTTCTTTTTCTCTGAGGCACAGCACCCTTGCTAAACCAGGAGCAGCAAACTCCGATACATGAGTGCCGAGAGCCCGGGCAGAATGGGGGCTCACAGCTCTCCCCCTAAGGTGGCAAGCCTACCTTTGCAGATGGTCCCGTTCCCCACGTAGCCCGGTTTGCAGGTGCAGCTGTGTCCCTGGATAGTGTTGGTACAGATGGCATTCTCATCACAGTTGTGCTGGCCACTGCCACATTCATCGTGCTCTGTTTCCAGGGTGAGAAAAAAAAAAGAGAAACACCTTTTCATAGGTTGGAATTACCGGTATTGGGAAACTTAGCTGGAATTCACCAAGTAAGAATGACAGCAACTACCACTTGTTAGTACCTTACCATGTGCCTTGCCTGAAAGTTTCTGTTGAAATCTAAACTCTGAACTAAAGATGTTATTATCCCTATGTTGCAGGTAAAGAAACAGTGTCAGAGAAGTCACACAAGTTACACACATCACAGGATTGCTAAGTGCTGCCCTAAGGCCATTGTTTCTCCCACTTTCTAAAAAGCTTTTCACACAGATCCCAAGGTAATGTTTCTCAACAGGGAGAATTTTGCACTGCCTCACCCTACAAACATATAATATGTCAGAGGGTATTTTTGGTTGCCATGATTCAGAAGAGAAAGTGATACTGAAATCTAGGGAATAAAGGCCAGGATGCTGCAAAGCATTGCACAATGTGCAGGAGAGCTCAAAACAACTAGCCAGCTTACAATGTTCGCAATGCTGAAAAATGTCCACAATGGGAAACATTCCATTCAGGTTAAAAAAGAAAAGAAAGAAAGACAAAGGAGGAAAAATAATAACCTATATGAGAGATTCCATGGCTGTAAACTGCAGAGGAAGGCCAGTGAATATAGCCTAGCAAAGGAGAATTTCCCAACAAAATTTTCAAAGGAGTACCACTGGTCACAGGAAAGGCTGGTGAGCACAGGATTGTGCTGAGAATAGGGAAAGGATTTACTCTGAGGCCTCTGTTTAAAGGCCTTCAGCAGTATAACTCTAATTCTCCACGTAGCCTGCTTTCACAGGGTTGAGAATCTAACCTCTGGGTAGCTTTCTGCCATGCAGTGATATGGTTATATATATTCAAATAGCTGTGGCATTCTTAATCCATAAGACCTAGAGGGAACCCCACCTAACCTGACAAAACAGATGAAAAGATTCCAAGTTAGAAACTAAGGTTTCATGATAATTATAATTTCCTCTCATACTCAGTAAGTTTATACAGTTATTTGAATATTCTATAAACAAACAATATGGCAAAGTTTATGCTCTTTATTCCTTTTAACATCTACTAGTATAACTTCTCACAAATTTTCAGAAGAAAAATGCAGTAGGACTACTCAAATCATAAAAAAGTTGTAAAACAAGAATAGAAATTCCAGCTATAAATCTCAAGGAAATAACACTAATTGGAGCAAAACAAAATATTCAATATAGTTTGGTAAGTGAATTGTTCAACCGATGTACTAATCAGCTGAAATATTGTCCATCTTCATTACCTTTTATTTTAATTTCCTAACAAGGGCCCAGTAATGAGAAAGGTTAAATCCTGCAAAATAGAACTGTTTTAATCATGCACACACAATAAAGGTAGGACACACACATGCATCTGATTCTTGATTTAACACGTGGGATATTTTCCAAATAAAATTTTTCTTCAGGCCTTAAAACCAACCCAAACTATCAGTGAGAAATGTGCACAGGTCACAAAGCAGTGAGAAAAGAAGAAAAGATTTATGAGGACATACTTCTAGCCTGTGCTTATGTCATCTCCAGCACACTCCAGAAATAGTAAGCCCCTGTGCATGTCTCCTCGAATTTACAAACCTATCAAGTACCTAGTATGTGCAGGTGCAATACCAGACAATGTTGGAACCATTAAAAAGTCTAAGAATTCAGACTTATACTCCAAGAGTTTTCAGTCCTCTTCCTTAAATTCATTTAATAAATAATTATTATGGTCTGTATGGGGAATACAAAGATGAGTAGATATAGTCTCTGCTACCCTGAATATTTTAATAGAGGTAACTAATTGGAACACAGAAGAGAAGTGATAAGAGTTACAAGTAGTTGACCTTATATTTTATCATACAAATGGAACATGTTTGAGAATGAAAGGGTGCTCTACTAATAATTATACTGGAATAACAAGCATAGCTCAGAATGATCCAGGCAAACTAGCATGTGTGGTCACGCCAGATAAGAGAAATAAAGATAAACTAGACTGAGTTCATTGGAGGGAAGCAATTCCTTCTAACGCAGAGAAGAGAAAAGTCCTCTTGCAAGAGGTAGTATTTGAAATAATCTTTCACGATTGGTCAAGGTTTCTCAATTAGAGTTGCTCGTGCAGGCTCAAGTTTGGAGAAAGGTATGGTTCTGCGCAGCATTCTAAAAGCCTGATCCATCCTTTACCTACTGTGTCCTATCTTCCAATACTCTTGAAGAAAATCTTTTTTTCTAATGAGGTGGAATCATTGCTGTCCTGCACATATATCAGTTTGTTCCTGCCTCTCTAGTTTTTCATGTTGTTTCCTTGACCCACAATACTCTCTCACAACATAGTTGGTTTATCTGCCTTTGCCTGGCCTTAAACACCACTTCAAACCTATACTCTCACCATGATCATGAAGGCTTACACACTTTTTCTCCAGACCAAGAATTTCATCTATCTTAGAACTTTCATAAAATTTACTATCTTTTCCTTTTTGGAGGCAATGATATCATAATATATTGCGATGTTATTTGCAAGTTTTGTCAATGCCGTTATTGACTTTGAGGAGAGGAATTGTAGCATATTTTCCACAATCTTCACTTTATCTATTAATATGTTACATAATGGTATTGAACCTAGAGAATGACAAGCACTGAAGTCAATATTTAATGTATATTATACCATTTAACTCTCGCAGTAATTAAATGAAATAAGTTTGCTCATTTTACAGTGAAGAAACTTAGACAAAAGTACTTTATGTAACTTTCCTAAGATCATAGAACTGGTAAACAGAGAAGTTCAAATTGTGAATGTAGACACTAGATGAACTCATTACTGAGCAGCTGGAAGTTAATTTGGATGTGGCTGAAGCTAAACCATGACATGTGGAAACGACATCATAATGCCAACAACGAACTGTCTTCCTGTATTCTAGCCCCCAGTTCCTACTGAGATCTATACACTTAATGAGAATACATGACCTATTCCCAAAGAACAAAGACTATAGAACTTCCAGATTTCATTTTCTTTACTTATGCCTAAGTTTTCAAAATGACCAGTATCTTCAAAACAGCGTTTAAGAGAGACAGCCAAAGAAAATACAGTTTTCTTCTAGAAATTTCACATTCCTTTCCAGTTGCTAAGGATGCTGAAAAATACATGACAAGTGCTTGTGAAAGATGGACTGGCCTAGAGGTTAAGAGTATGAAGTCCAAAGTCACCAGCCTAGGTTATAAGATCCTGGTTTGCCAATTACTAGCTATTTGAACTTAAGTAAGTTACCCAGCCTCTCTGTCTAAGACTCCTCATTATAAAATGTGGACAATGATAGAACCTATCACTTGGGATTGTTGTGAGAATTAAATTAATTAATATGGTAGATAACTTATTACAGCATGTTACAGCTAGTAAGTGCTCTACAAGTGTTAGCTATTTGATTATCATTGCTGCTGTTGCTCCTGCTCCTGCTCCTACTCCTACTCCTTCTACTAATTCTACTAATACTGGTGCTACAATTACTTGAGAACAAACTTAATCATAGCATGGTGATTACAACTGAATTGAGACAGATGTTATTAAGATGATTAAATAGAGGTGTCCAGCACTCACCTTCCCAAAAAAGGACCAAAAGCAACAGTAGATAACCACAAATCAAACTGAGTATTTAAGTTAGATTATTGGGATTCAGTAGAAAATTTATGAAGACGCTCTAAGGTACAAAAACATAGAAAGGCCTTAAAGAGAGGAAAGCAAATCATCCAGTACCAATTAGTTTCAAGCCAAGTGGGACTCACATTCTGGGAAAAAAGAAAGTGTGAGATGGCCAGTAACCATATTTCCACCATGGACAGCAGCAATTCTAGCTACAGAAGAGCCTCACAGACCTTAAAGATCCTGATCCCAACATAGGGAGCATTTGGAGTCCAAGGATCACCTGAGTCCAGGAGGTCAAGGCTGCAGTGAACCATGTTCATGCCACTATACTCCAGCTTGGGTAATAGAGAGAGGCCTTGTCTCAAATAATAATAATAATAAATTAATAATATTAGCTAAACACTTCCCAATACTTGTGAGAGATATGAACATCCAGATTTAGAAAACTAAGAGCCCCCAAATAAATTTAACCAAGGCACATTACAGTCAGACTTTCAAAAGGCAAAGATAAAGAGGGAATGCTAAACACAGTGAGAGGAAAACATCAAATCACATATAAGGATATTCCATAAGACTAACAGCAGATTTTGCACCAGAGCCCTGCATACCAGGAAAGAATGGGATGATATATTGAAAGTTCCAAAAGAAAAACAAAATGCCACCCAAGAACCCTATACACAGAAAAACTAGCCTTCACAAATGTGGAGAAACAAAGTCTTTCTCAGAGAAGCAGAAACCGAGGAAATGCTTCACCACTAGACCTCACCTACAAGAAAAATTTAACAATGTCCTACATTGAGAAGTGAATGACAATATATACATTTTTAAAATTACTTTTATACTTTCACGAAAATAATATTTATATGTAACTCACTGGTAGAGCAGATAAACAAATACAAAGGGAATGGGATAACATATTACTATTACAGAAAACCACCAAACTACAAAAATAATAAAAGAAGAAGAAAGGAACAAAGGGTATATAAAACAACCTGAAAACAATTAACAAAATAACAGGAGTAAGTCCTCATCTATCAATATCAACCTCAAATATAAATGGTTTCAATTTCCCAAGTAAAAGATATGGACTGGTTGAATGGATTTTTTAAAAGCCCTAACTATATGAAGGTTATAAGAAACAATATCACCTGTAAAAACACACACCATCTAAAAGTAAAGGGATAGAAAAAGATATTCCACAAAACTAGAAAGCAAAAGTGAGCAGAAGTAACTATGTTTATATCAGATAAAATAGATACTGAGTTAAAAAAGAACAAAGAAAGACAAAGAATGTCATTATATCATAATAAGGGAATCAGTTCAGCAAATATATATAACAAT